AACTTCCCAAGATTCGATAACTGTGAGAGAGTCTGTGAACACTAGAAAGGACAAAAGCACCATCCCTTTCAAAAGCCCTTACTTAGCACACCGGTGACTTAGGGACTTGGAACAAGGCTGATTTTGTAGCTGATACTGTGTCTTTGGGGGAAACTTTACACCTGAGTAGAGGAATAAAAGAGTTTGTACTTGTAATTAACAGTACAAACCATTCCTTCCCACACGGAATTCCTAAAGGAAAAAGAGAAGGTATATAAATGTGTGTGTGTGGTGATATGAATTCTCACTTAAGCGAGGTGATGGAAGCAATTTGGGAAAAAAATGTTTTTTTCCTTTAAATTGTGAAGGTTAAAATGAAAGGTTGGTTACCTGCAAAGTAAAACTGTTTTCTTGGGGTTTTTTCCCAAGTATATTAGTGCTAAATGAATTCTTTGTGCTTCATGTTAACAATAGTACCAATTAAACTCTGAGGAATAAAGTATGCTAGTAAAGTTTTAGGCAACTTGGTAAGTGCTACAGTAGTTTAAAATCAACAAAAAATTTATTGAAGTTTTAGTTAATGATTCTCTCAGAAAAGGAGATGATGGAGGGGGCCAATATTCAGAAATTTGTATTTTCCCTTCTTGTTTTCCTTTATTTCCCCTTTCTTACTCTGCATATTCTGTGTCTGTATTTAATATATCTCATCATTAAAGATATTTTCTAACATATAATATGTATGGAGATTTCCTTTATGAATGTTGCCATAGAGATCTTAGTTATTTATATCTAATGCTCAGGCTCTCCTGCTTTTGAGTTCCAGTTTATGAACAATGGATGTGAGCAATGTATTCGTAAGCTCCTTGTGTTTTAACTTGCTCTGCCAACTTTTAGCACAATGAGCTAATGTGTTAATGTTCATGACATGATAAGTAAATTCCTAGTACTGTATGATCCAACTGTGTGGGCAGATTAAACTCAATGAAACTAGTATATTGTGAAATATTTTGCGGGAATAATATTGGGGAAATGATGGGCATAATGTACTTTACATGGCTCAAGTCTCCTGACCTAGTCAAAAAAATGTCATTAGCAGGCTAGTGCTTAGGGTAATCAGAAAATGGACAACCTAAACATACATGGCTTGGAGAATTGTCAACAGCAGTGAATATGAGCCAGGGATAGGTAAATAATGACACTGGATCTCCCAGAACCAGAGTCAGGGGATTAACCTCTTCTTAGCACCATCCTTACTCTTCTAAACTAAACAAGTCAGAAATTTGGCACAAATGTTTTAAAACATTTACAGCCTTTAACCCAAGTGTGATTTCTCTCAGGCAAGCCTGTCCCACACTCTGGAATCCAATGGGAAATTTAAAAAAAAATGTTAATATACAGAAGCTCAAAACATAAAATATTCATTATAGGTCATACTTATCAAGGGAAAATATAAACATCAAAGTCATTTAAATTCCATAGTTTGCCCAGATAGTCCAATGATCAGACAGCAAAGAGAATCATGCTTTGTCAATGACAGGGTGGCCATTTCTTGTCATGGGTTTTTTAAAAATGTCAGCTTAAGGGACTTCTGCTCCTAGGAAAACGGAATAGTATGATTTTCTCTACTTCTCCAACTAGGTACAACTAAAAAATCCTGGACATTATGTATAAAAGAAGACTCTGAATGGTGGAGAGAAAAAAACGAAAGCATGTATAACATCCTGAGACCCAAAGAACAACAATGAAGAGTACCCTAGATTTTCTTTTTGACTTATAAATCCTAGCCTTGTTGCTGAAGAAGCCAGGAACCCAGAGAGATCGACGGGTGCAGACAAAAAAAAGTCACCATTAGAAGACTGATTTCTCTAATCAAAAGACCAGGAATGGGGCATCACAGTAAGACAGGATACCTTTGGACAGTAGCTGCTCTTTGCCAGCCAAACAACTTAGAAAAAACTATGACCCCACTACAATCCAGCCATACTATAACAAGGTGCCCAAAATCTCCAGCCAGGGTGATGTCAGGGAGGACCAAGTATGGACCCCAGACTTTAATCCTTGTCAAATAGTAGCAAGGATTTCATTGATACTACCTATCCCTGTAGTATCAATGGAGACCACATGTCTAGTGGGGCCTGGATTTCTACCCACACTCAGCAGTAATGAGGAACCTCACCCTCTCCCTATAGGGATAGTGTCAGAGATGGCTTAATGGAGAGTCAGGACTTTTATCACAGTACAGTGATAACAAGGGCATTTCACACATAGACACTGTGATGTCACTGGAGGTCACATGAGGAGCACTAATGAGGCTTTCTTACCCCTCCCAGTCAGGGAGGTATCGGTGAAGAGCAAGTAGGGGGCTGGAACTCTCTCCTGCTATATCTAGTAGTAAGAAGGAGCTTCTCTACCCTTGGGTGTCAATGGAGGCTGAGTAGGAAACCCGGATGCTACCTCTACCTGTCAGTATTGAGGCAAAATCCTCCTTTCCCCTACTAGAACAATGCTAGAGGAAAACAGAATAACTGAAGGTTTAAATAAGAGTGTTCATAACATAATATTTAAAATGTCCAGGTTACAATAAAGAATCTCTTGTCATACCAAGCAACAGCAAGATCTCAAATTGAATGAAGAAAGACAATAGATTCCAACACTGAGATGAGAGAGATGTTAAGAATTATCTGACAAATATTTTTAAGAAACCATTATAATAAAAGTCCTTCAAAGAGCAATTACACATTTGAGACAAATAAGAAAATAGAACATCTCAGTAAAAAACAGAAAGTCTTAGCAAGAAAAGAGAAGATGTAAAGAATAACCAAATAAAGTTTTTAGAACTGAAAAATACAATATCAGACATAAAAAATATATGGAAGTGCACAACAACAGAATGAAGGAAATAAGAAAAGAATTCATGAACGTGAAGCTCTAACAATAGAAATTACCCAATTTGAACAACAGACAAAATAGCCCAAGAAAAAAAATGAACAGAAGATCAGGGATCTGTGGCATTATAACGAAAGATCTAGCATTCATATCTGTGGAATTCAGGAAGGAGATGAGAAAGAGACAAGGACTGAAAAATACTCAAATAAATGGCAGAATACTTTCCAAGTTTGGTAAAAGACATAAGTCCACAGATTCAAGAAACTAAGTGAAACCCAAGAGGATAAACCCAAAGAAATCCACACTATGGCACATCATAGGCAAACTTCTGAAAACTAAACAGATAGAAAAGATATTGAAAGTAGTGAGAGAGACATGACGTCTTATCTATAGGGGAAAGAATTCAAGTAACAATGGATTTTTCAACAGAAACCAAGTGAGGCCAGAAGGAAGTGGCCCCACATTTTTCAAGTGTTAAAAGAAAACAACTAACTGTCAACTAGAATCGTATGTCCAGGTAACATATCCTTAAAGAATAAAAGAAATATCAAGATGGTATAAGATGAAGAAAAAAGTAACAGAATTTGTCACCAGGACACACACTCTAAAAGAATGGATAAAGGAAGTTCTTTAAACAGAAAGGAAATAATAAAAGAAGGAATCTAGGAAAAGCAGGAAGGAAGAAAGAACAACAGTAAGCAAAAATATTAGTAAATATAATACACTTTCCTTCTCTTGACTTTTCTAAATTATGTTTGACAGTTGAAGTAAAAATAACACTGATATGATTTTAAATATATATAGAGAAAATAATAATTAAAACAATTATATAATAAACAGGAGAAGGGAAGGGAACAGAAAAGGATATAAGATTTCTACGCTTCACTAAAATTGGTGAAATAGCAGTAAACTGTGATAAGTTATGTATGTATAATATAATACCTAAAGAAACCACTATCGATAGCTATACACAGAGATACCTTCAAACACTAGATAAATCAAAAGAATTTTAAAAACATTCCGGAAACACACAGGAGGGTGTAGAAAAGAGAGAATAGAAAAACAGAGAGAACAAACAGAAAACAATTCGAGCCCTAACACATCAATAACTTTAAGTTTAACATAAATGAAAATGGTTTAAATACACCAATTAAAAGACACAGATTGACAGAGTGGATTAAAAAACATGACTACTGTTTACTGTCTACAAGAAACTCACTTCAAATATGATATAGGCAGGTTAAAAGGAAAAGAATAGAAAAAGATATATCATTCAAACACTAATCAAAAAAAAGCAGGAGTATTTATATTAATATTAGATAAAGTAGACTTCAGAGCAAAGGAAGTTATAAAAGGCAGAGAACATCACATAGTGACAGAAAGGCCAATCCACCAGGAAGACATAGAAATCTACTGTGTGTGTACCAAACAACAGAACTGTAAAATATGTGAAGCAAAACCTGATAGAACTGGAAGGAGAAATAGACAAATCCACATTTATAGTTGGAAACATCAACACCATCATTGAGCATCTCCTACATGCAAGGCACTCTGCTAGGTATTGTAAATACAGTAGTGAAAAAGAAAAAGACAGTCCTGGCCCTCATGAAACTCATGATCTGTTGGGGAAGACAAATATTAATTAATTAGAAAATTATTTAACTTGCCAGCATAATAAACGTTACAAAGAGAATCTCAAAAACACCAAAAGTTTAACCTCTCTTGTTTAAAATGCCCTATTTTTAATATCAATGAGAAGGAGACAAATATATAATTATCAAGCTATGGAATTTAATGGTATCTGTGGTTCTATTGCTGCACTTCCCAGAGATAATAAAGAGATTCACATTAGCCCAGTGTAGACTGCAAACCCTACCCACAGCTGGCACACAACTCACAGCCAAGAACACGGAATTCTCTGGGTGCCTCTAAAGCATTTGTTTCTCCCAATAACACAATTCACACTGACTCCGTCCCTGCTTTTCCTCTTGCTTTTCAATTTCAGCTGGGAGGCTAATGACACCTCCAAGAGTGTAATATAAACATATTATGAAGAGCTACCAGGGTGGGATGGGGAAAGCAAGACTTACCCCAAAGTGTTAGAAACCATCAAGCAGAAAAAGATGTTGACTTACCACGGTGTAGATCTGATGTTTTCGTCTTTTAGCCAGATCAATTATGTTTACTCCATTGTAGTAAAGGTTTTCAATACATCCATGGAAGTTTTTCTTTAAAAAGGTCCCAGGTTTGCCTGGTACTGGAATTCCTCCGAAACTAAGCTTTATAAGGAGAAAAAAAAAAAAAAATCTACTCAGTTATAAGCTTGAAGGAATAGGAAAGGAAAGCAAGCAAGTGAATTGCAGTAGATTCAATTGTATGCATGAGCCAAGTGGCTCAAATAATTATAGATGCCACTTGATTATGCATTTAAAAGGATACTGATTAGCTCACGTAAAAATAACTATAATTGCTTGCTTTTTAAGAGCTTATTTTACAAAACTATTTTACTTCCTTTCTGAACCTTTTTAATACTAAATAAAACAATAATTTACAGAAGGGAAAAAAGAAAAGAAAATCAACATCTTTATATTTATCTCTTATGCAGACATCTGAGAGAACATGGCCAAACTAACGCCAAGGGACAAACAGAATATACTTCTGTTCAGCTACAGAGAGACCTAGTTTAAAAGCCTACATTAGACCAAAAAAGCCTTATGTATACAGTTGGCCCTAAATTATCTTCTGTAAAGATGAAAAATAGGAAAAAATTCAAATAACCCATACAGGTTTTTAAAGGAAATAATCGAGAACCAATATGATGAAATCTTACCCAGTTATCAATAGTGGGGCTTATTAAACATTTGTGATAAAATGGGAAGTAAGTATAATGTTGATTGAAAAATGCAAGAGTTATAAAAGCATGTAAAGTATGATGTCAACAATAAAAAATTGTGCTTACAATATAGACTTGGAGGAAATACACTGAACCGTAAATGGTGGGAAGGATATGGGGTACTAGTTTTCTTTACCACTTTTATTTTCAGTAAAAATTACTACAAATTACTTTTGTAATGGAAATATTATTTAAAAAACAAACGTGATCAGTTATGAATATTTTTCCTGTTATACAAGAGAAGCAGAATAGTTTCTATAATCACGTTTATCCCAACACCATTTAATGAGTAACCCAGTTTTTCCGCATTCTTTGAAATATTATCTTCAGCATGTACTTAAACTATATTGATGCTCAGGTGTGTTTCAGGATGATGTGTTCTCCCAATCAGAATGTTTTCTTATATGAATAGCTACTGATATACCAAGGCTACTTCTAGATGCCTTTTTTTTTTTTCCTGAGGAAGATTAGCCCTGAGCTAGCATCTGTTGCCAATCCTCCTCTTTTTGCTGAGGAAGATTGGCCCTGGGCTAACATCCATGCCCATCTTCCTCTACTTTATATGGGATGCTGCCACAGCATGGCTCGATAAACAATGCATAGGTCCTCAACCAGGATCAGAACCTGTGAACCCCAGGCCGCTGAAGCAGAGCATGCGAACTTAACTGCCACGCCACCGGGCCGGCCCCTAGATGCCTATTTTTTTGCCACAGGTTCCACATTATTTTAAAAAATTGTTTCCTTATACATTATAATATATAATAAGGATTATTAATCCTGCTGCCCACTTTTACTTACCATTGCTTTATTCATTTAAGAGAATTATTTGATATCTTTACTTATTTTATTTTAAAGTTTAATTTTAGAAGAATTTTATTTCAAATAGCCTGTTGGAAATTTTGATTGATAATTCGTTATTTCCATTAACACATTTACTTGGAGAAGAATGGATATTCTGGAAACATTTTATTTTCGTATACAAGAACCCAGTGTCTTTTTCTATTTTCAAAATATTTTTGGTATTGTCTTTCACCTAAGGTTATCATTTTCTTCTCCTAATTCATATATGCATCATTAAATTAATTCCTAGGAATTTCATGCCTTTAAAAATTTAGATTGTAAACGAATTGTTTTCATTAATTAAATATTTTATCACATAAATTATATACCTATCCTATAGTTTTCTCTATCAAGATACTTTTATATTAAATAATATACTTTTTAGCTAATTCATTGAATTTGTAAAGAGAATAATCATATGACATATGTACTATATTCTTTTTCAAATCAATTTTTATACATTTTTTTTTTCTTGTTTCATTGTCCTGGTCAAAACTTCCTAAAATCTAGCCATTTTTTTGAATGCAGTTTCTCCCACTTACTCTTATGTTTATTGATATAATTTTCTATATATAGATTAAGCAATATTAAATAATAATCACGGTATAAAACTTTGAAAAAAAAAAGACAGCAGTTTTGATGTATTTCTCAAGTACACCTAACATTGATTCTGACTCCACATCACATTAAAGAGATATCCTTCTGCTCCCATTTTACACAAAAATCATTTATTTGCTTATTTATTTATTTATTTGAAATGACAAATAATGTTCAGTTTTATCCACGGATTTTTCAAAAATCCATGTGACAGAATACATGGTATTTTATGTTTAAGCTACTGATGGGTTGAATTATTTTAATAGATCATAAATTAATAGCTTCTTTTGATTGAACCACAGTTTTATTCCATTTGCCTTGAAACAAATGTGCTCATGTTTTAAGTAGGAAATGAGTTTGAGCTCTCGTTTTCTTCTTTTTTCAAGTATTTATATCAAGTCTAGATTGAGAAAAATTAAGAGAGATTTATCTTTGACTCTATTTGAGGATGACTCATACATCTTCAGAAATACTGTGGAAAAAAACATCAAGGAATTTGTTACTTCCACAAATATTTTATAAAAATATTTCTTCAATAACTTACAAAATCTTCCTTGTTGACTTATTGCAATATTCAAATATTTTCAATTTGAGTTATTTACATTAAAAAGATCCATTTCTGTTTTGTAAATTATTTGCATAAATCAAATTTGTAATATAAAAATATAAATAAATATTTGTTACTTTTATTTATTATTTTTTAAAGACTCTACTTTTCTAGAGCAGTTTTAGGTTCACAGCAAAATTGAGGAGAAGGTACATAGGTTTCCAATATACCCTCTGCCCTCACACATGCATTGCATCTTGCATTATTGATATCCCTCACCAGAGTTGTACATTTGTTACAATTGGTGAACATACACTGATACATCATAATCACTCAAAGCTCATAGTTTACACTAGGGTTCACTCTTGGTGTTGTACATTCCATGGGTTTGGACAAATGTATAACGCCATGTATCCACCATTACTGCATCCTATAGAATAGTTTCACTGCACGAAAAATATCCTCTGTGCCCTGCCAATTCATCCCTCCCTGCCAACCCCAACCCCTGGCAACCATTAATCTTTTTACTGTCTCCATAGTTTTGCCTTTTCCAGAATGTCATACAGTTGGAATCATACAGTATGTAGCCTTTTTGGATTGGCATCCTTCACTTAATAATACAAATTTAAGAGTTTTAAGCCATGTCTTTTCAAGGCTTGATAGCTCATTTCTTTTTAGGACTGAATAATATTCCACTGTCTAGATGAACCAAAGTTTATTTATCCATTCACCTGCAGAAGGACATCTTGGTTGCTTTCAAGTTTTGGCAACTATGAATAAAGCTGCATAAACATCCATGTGCAATTTTTTGTGTGGACATAAGTTCTTATTCATTTTTATAATATTAAATATATAATGATAATTTTATTCTTTCCACTTTTATGTTGCCCACCTTCCTCAATTTGTAAAACTGTTTTGTTTTTCTTTTTCAGGGAAGATTTGCCCTGACCTAACATCTGTTGCCAATCTTCCTCTTTATTATTTTTGTCCCCAAAGCCCCAGTGCGTGGTTGTATATCCTAGTTGTAAGTCCTTCTAGTTCTTCCATGTGAGCTGCCACCACAGCATGGCAACTGATAAACAGTGGTGTGGTTCCACTTCAGGGAAGCGAACCTGGACAGCCGAAGCGCTGAGAGCACCAAACTTTAACCACTAGGCCATCAGGGCTGGCTTGTAAAAATGTTTTTAATGCTCTACTTCACTCAATTGTGATTTAGGAAAATATTAATTATAAGACAATATTTGAAAAAGAGAGAAAGGAAAAAACATTTTCTTTTAAATAGTAAAAATTAGTATTTGAGGGACGTGGGGTAGAGATTTTTGTAGAAGTCAAATAGTATAGAGGATACTGTATAGTATGAAATTGTAATATTCCCATCACATTAAGTAGAGCAAAAGCTCTTTCTGGTCTGGGTAGAGAATGTTTGGAGAAATTTGGTGGAAACAAGAGTAGAGTTAGATAGTAGTGTGGGACCTGCTCTTTGTTCTCTCCGGAAGATTGAAACTTGATGAGATTTGGGTGGATGTGGAGAGAGGTCATAGAGATTTCGAAAAACACAGAGTAATTTCTCCTTTGATTCCCATAGCAGTGATGGCTACAAGCCCATTAAAGATGCCTTAGGTTCAGCATGGCCCCAGAGCAAAACTTACCTGGAAAGGAGACAGATTAGCAATGGCTGAGGGAAGTGGCAACATGGAAGGGTCTGAGGGCTGCTTCAGAATGACCTGGTCACTAGCATAATGTGAGGTAGGCTGCTGAAGGTCCCCCAGCCTAGGAGAGCAGGATGGGGGAGGATAGATGAACTGAGGCTCTGAGTAAATGTATAAAATGCTGGTTGCTGGATTTGGAGATCTAAGAGGGTCCAGGTGACCAGACCTCACAGCCTGAGGTCATGGCAGGTATCAGGACAGCAGCTGCTGAAGCTGACAATTTATTCCCGTGCTTCCCCTGATGCAGGACAATACCCAAGCCTCTCAGCCAGTGATCTGCCCAGGGAAAAGGAAAGAAGAAGGGGAAAAAGGAATCCTCAATATAACCCAATATTTACACAATAGTGCCCTAAGTTTTACATAGGCATTAACTAGTTATCATTCATTATCACAGTTGGATTTTTCCACCAGCAGAGGAAGCAGGAGCTGATGAGCACATCAAATTCAGTTGGGAGAAGAAGCAAACTTGTTACTTCTGCACATTTGACCGTGAGTGCAAATTTTTAACCTGCTTTATATTTTTAAATTTTATAAGTAGTTGAGAATTTGAGGTTATAATTGTACTACTGAATTACAGATTTAGTTCATTATCAGATAAGTTAAAATGGAAAAATTTGCTTCATATAGTGATGTTTTTCTTTCCTACATATACAGTATTGATTTTTCTAAATACTTCATAAACAATTGTAGGCT